AGGGTCGGGTCGGGGCCGGGACCCCCCACCGCTCTCCCTTGCAGGGGCAGGAGGCAGAAGCTTGGTCCTGCGGCAGCCAAGCTTCCCTCCTCCCCCTTCTTCCCCCAGCGTAGCGCTTTCCGGCCCCTCCTCCTCCTCTTCCTCCTCCTCTCAGTGGGCAGGCAGCGTGCCACTCAGAATCAGCTTGCATGCCGTGTTTGGCACGCATGCCGTAGGTTGCCGACCCCTGCATTAGAACCTGCAACTTTACCAGATTGGTGCTATTTAATAGCTTTTTGGATTTCATTCAAAATTATGGCATTCTGAAAAGTGTATGGTATATTTTCTGTTAATGCAGGGAATTTTAACTCCTGTAAGAACCCCTTGGTGTCAGTAGGACACTGCTTCTCTTCAGGAATATTCAGCTGCTTATAGAAATTCAGGCTAATTTTATTAGTAAATTGGTAACTAGTTTTACCTAATATCCTACCTTGACTGTTGCTATAATACTTTCGATGTTGAGCTGTATATGAACTGCTAGCTAATTTGCCAAATTTGCTGGTAAGCTTGAAGGACAGCTGTTTCTTATGTTATAAGGTATCTTTTTGCTTTTTCAGATAAAAGAAGGGCCAGTTCATTTTTTAATATGGGTTACCCGTTCAAGAGTTTAAGGTGAGAGTATTAAATGTTGATTTCCTACAGCTCTTTTAATGGTTTTTCTACTTTGGGAATATGTCTTGATTTGAGAGGCATGGGCTATTATAATACTAAGCAGGTAAGTGTCATATAGTGACTTTAGGGATGTGGGGAAGCCTCGTTAATTTAAAATATAAAGCTCAGTTTGAAAGGCCTTGTTTTTAAAATTAGCCCTAAAGTCTCTGATTTAAATAAACCAGGCATATGCAAATAGTATAAATGAGTTGGTACTCATGTCAGAAGATAATATTTACCTTGATCTTTGTTCATTAGCTGTTGAGAGATATTTGGGACAAGTATAAACAAATAGTTCTCACAGACCTTCATTTTACCAGAGGAGTAAACAGTCCCAAGCTAAAACTGAATGACTTTCTTGAGTTATCAATTTGACAAGAGTTGCCCTAAGGCGACAACTTTTCCTACCTCCCACCCCTTCTGCTTTGCTAATTAAGTCAGTAACTGTGTATTTGTCAAGCTGAAGCTCTCACTGAAGCTGTCTCGTTAATTTCTTTTCTTTAGGACATGTTAGATTTATTCTGCAGTGCTAAAACAGAGGTCTTTGCAAAATACCTACACAAAGTTACTTGTCATGTAGCAATTGAAAGGTGCGACGGGAAGAGTATATTGTATTACTACTTTTAATCAGATAAAGGTGTAATAATGATTGACAGAATACACTACAGAAGTCAGTCACATTGCTTAATGCACTACTGGAATGCACTAATGAAACTATTGGAGTAAGGGCATTACAAGTATCTATACCAGGAGTTGGCAACCTTTCAGAAGTGGTGTGCCAAGTCTTCATTTATTCACTCTAATTTAAGGTTTTGCGTGCCAGTAATACATTTTAACATTTTTAGAAGGTCTCTTTCTGTAAGTCTATAATATATAACTAAACTATTGTTGTACATAAAATAAACAAAGTTTTTAAAATGTTTAAGAAGCTTCATTTAAAATTAAAATGCAGAGCTCCCCGGACCAGTGGCCAGGACCCAGGCAGTGTGAGTGCCGCTGAAAATCAGCTTGCGTGCCACCTTTGGCATGCGTGCCATAGGTTGCCTATCCCATATCTATACAAAACAGAAGTAGAACAGAATCACTATAGAGGCAAGAATGATGATTTTCACAACTAAATTGTAAACAAGATGGTCACATATATAATTAGCATGATCTTTGCTAATAAGGCTAATATATAAAAACATTGATATACTACTGTAAATCACTGGTTTTCCAAAGCAGAATAATGAATTTTCAATGCAGGGTAGTGAACCACCTTACAACAATTATGAAGAAGGAAATTAAAGGAGAATTCTTCTATTAAATAATTCTTTTCCCCTCCTGCAGCTTTCACTGACCAGCAATCTGTGAATGAATTTTTTAAATGCAGCACTAGAGAGACTTTTCAGGATAAGAAAGCTTTATTACCTACGGAAATGGGAAGTATTGATTGGCTAATGAGTTTATAGTATAAACATTAAGGCTTTTTGTTTGGCATCTATATATGCTGAAACATACAGAGAGTATTTTCTGGTAAGTAACCTGGAAAGAGATTTTTCTAGTCAGATTTTGCTCTCAATTCACAATTTTGTGTCTCTTGAATATACCCAGGGTGGCTCTGCTGTGGGAAATTTACAAAAGATAGCACAAAGCTGATGATGCAAAGATAAGAAGTTTTTGGTATGGAAATATAGAGAGTAAAGCCAAAAACCTGAGTGCCTAAAAAGTTACACATAAATCTATATTTGAGCACCCGAATAAATGTCCCGATTCTCAGGGGTGCTGAACACCCCTAGTTTCCACAAAAATCAGTGAGGGCTGAAGTTACTCAGCACAACTGAAAATTAAAACACTTATTTAGGTGCCTGTGGGTCTAATCTTGTTTACACTTACACCTTTGAGGATCTTTGTGCTTTAAAGGAGTCCCACTGAAATTGGGCAGAAGTGTTTGCAGGATCAGGGACTAAACAGAAATTTAGGTGCCTAACCTTAGGTAGCCTGCTTGACAATTTTGGCATTTTTTTGCATTAGACTGTGAACATTCTAGGTGAGATATTTAGGTAGTGATGAGGTGTGAAAACCATTTTTTTAACTACTATATGTAATAAAATATAAGAGAGTTTTTTTATTTGGTCAATAATAAAAATAAAACCTGGAATTTTATTTTGCAATCTTTTTATAATGAAAAAGTCATAAACCAGCACAGAACAAGTTAATCAATTATAAGGACAGGAGAGTTTTGGGCACCAATATATATTTTTACAAGATAGGGTGGTGGTGGAACATAGATAAAAAATACTGAAAAAAAATAGACTGTACTACACTGAGGGATATTTGATTTACAGTTTCAAATTTGCAGTATGAGGAGCTTTAAGTGGAAAAGCCACTGGTCAGGGCTGGTGTAGGAAGTGGAGGAAGTAGGCTAGTGCATGGAGATTGGTGTAGCCTATCAGGGCTCCTAATCTCAGAATTTGCTATAATAATAGTAAAGTAAATAATAAATAAGCAAGTTCCACTATATAAACACCTTCCATATAGTCTCAAAATGGCTGACTTGCAGGGGAGATATACTTGCAGGGGAGATATAGTTGTTGTCAAATGAATATATTTGATGATACAGGTATAAGTTGGTTACTCTCTTTTAGGTGTGTGGTCCACCTGGTGGTGGGAGTCAAAGCTCTCTCTTCTTCCCCCTGCCAACTTCCTTCTGGCATGTTGCCCTGTTTTCTTATGAATGATCTCATTACAAGAGAAATAACCAGATGTCTCAGCAGGATTGTTTTCATAATGCTACCACAGTCTATGCTTACCCAGGGTCATCATGCTTTCCTTTACATTATAGTATTTGTTTTTCCTTCTTTTGGAAGGAAAAACTGAACGTGCTATCCTTCTGCATTAGATTTTTGTTTAAAAAACAAAGGCTATTGCAAATCATTGAGTGGTACTCCTCCAATTTTCTGAGCCCTGCTATGAGTCCACTTACCTTAACCTCTAGCTTTTTCAACAGCTCTCAGAAATGTTGTTTACACCACCATTAAGGGCTCCCAGGATTGGAACTAGAATTTTGAAGGTACCAGTAGGTATTTGTTGGCAGCCTAGCAAAACAGGGTTTGTCCACCTTATCCTCACACCTTGCTGGAGCCCATCTCTACAGAAGCTCAGCCCCCTCCCTTCAAGAGACTGATATCTAACTCCTTCTTGAGCTGTGCCTCTACTGCTTCAGACCCAAGTTCAGTAAAGCACTGAAGCATGTGCTTAACTCCCATTGAAATCAATAGGATTTCAACATGTGGTTAAGTGCTGTGCAGAATTGGTGCATCAGAGCTGTCTGTCTATTCCTACTATGCAACTCTCATCTCTCTCTTATGTTAGCTCCCAGAAGAGATTTTGACCCTATTCTGATGGTGCTATGGCTGAACTACTCTGCCCAGGCTAGTCACCAAACATTTCACTTTTAGAACTCAGGCATCGTCCCTGTGAACAAGTGAACACCATTAAAGGTATTTTGGGGGCATTTACTGCTAGCATGATATGCAAACCCGCCCAAGTTAGGTGCAGCTAGAAAACCATAGCAAAGTTTGATAGTGCAGCAGAGTCTGTGAGAGTAATTAGCTAATACCTCATAGTCAGCATGCAATAGCTATGCCCCTTAGCCTAATGGATGTACCTGATCATGAAAGTGAAGTAAGAGCACCAGTGACCACTGAGACCTCTCAAAGTCTCAGTAATCATTCTCAGCTTTTTATTGGAAGGGGGCTTGTAGAAGGGATGTGACCTCCTGATTTTTCCTGGATTGGCTTACCTCATCTTATTACAATACTATGAAAATTAAATTAAAAAAATCTCACATATACAGTCAAATCCCTTTGCTGTTGAAATTTGAAATCAATGATTCCCTAACCAGATGTTTAAAAACAATTAGATCCATGCAGTGTTTAAAAGATATTACTCTTGGGGGAATTCTGCACAATTGAGCATGGGCAGAATTCATGCCCCTGCAGATTTCCCCCCCCCTGCAGAATAATACATTCTTCTGGGGAGGCACTGCAATTACACCTTTCATCCAACAGAAGCTACTGTGGCAACAGAAGAGAGGGCAGCCGCCTCAGGGCTGCTGCAGCTGTGGAGAGGGAGGAGAGGCTGCTTTCCTCACAGCGCCCTGTCTGCAGGGCCAGGTGAGGAGGCACAGGATATGATGGGGACGGATTGCGTGGGGCACATGGGGCTGCTGGAAGGATCACAGGCTGGGGTACAGAAAATAAGAACATAAGAACGGCCGTACTGTGTCAGACCAAAGTTCCATCCAACCCAGTATCCTATCTACCGACAGTGGCCAATGCCAGGTTCCCCAGAGGGAGTGAACCTAACAGGTAATGATCAAGTGATCTCTCTCCTGCCGTCCATCACCACCCTCTAACAAACAGAGGCTAGGGACACCATTCCTTACCCAACCTGGCTAATAGCCATTAATGGACTTAACCTCCATGAATTTATCCAGTTCTCTTTTAAACCCTGTTATAGTCTTCACAACCTCCTCAGGCAAGGAATTCCACAAGTTGACTGTGCGCTGTGTGAAGAAGAACTTCCTTTTATTTGTTTTAAACCTGCTGCCCATTAATTTCATTTAGTGGTCCCTAGTTCTTATATTATGGGAACAAGTAAATAACTTTTCCTTATTCACTTTCTCCACATCACTCATGATTTTATATACCTCTATCATATCCCCCCTTAGTCTTCTCTTTTCCAAGCTGAAAAGTCCTAGCCTCTTTAATCTCTTCTCATATTGGACCCGTTCCAAACCCCTAATCAGTTTAGTTGCCCTTCTCTGAACCTTTTCTAATGCCAGTATATCTTTTTTTGAGATGAGGAGACCACATCTGTACGCAGTATTCAAGATGTGGGCATACCATGGATTTATATAAGGGCACTAAGGTATTCTCCGTCTTATTCTCTATCCCCTTTTTAATGATTCCTAACAT